GGTAAGGGAGGAATGGACCGTAGTCAGGCGTGCGTGTCATGCAAACTGGGTACATAAATCGGACAATTGTATGTCAGTCAACGGTAGAAAATTTACTAATGATACGCGGTGCATCCGGATGGATAATAACTTGGTACCTAGGGCGGTTTCTTGACGCTGACCAGGACTCACTTCAAGTCATGTGCCTTTGTAGGCGACTAAAAGCTATAGCCAGCACTTCCACATTCGAAGAATAAGCGTTATATATTTAGATGAACATTGCTGACAAAGACACGGGAGACTAGAATGGTCATTTCTAGCTCATTGGCCGTCATATCTGACCCTAGCTAGTGCACCGCCCGGGGCTCGAACTGGTGATCTGTTGCTCAGAGGTCCAACGTTCTAACTGATGAGCTACGGGTTCGTTGTGTTGCTGGTTTAGATCGGGAATATTGAAATCCGTTGATGAGCGTTCACCAATCCCTACGAAAGCTCCATCGTGCCGTTCTGTTTTGGGCTCTTTTTTGAGCCCTGGCAGCAGCCATACAACAGCTAGTAATGTAAGCAGATTTAAATTGCCGACAAAAACAAAGTGACTTGGAATGACAATTTCTAGCTCATTAGCCGTCATCAACCAGGCATGCTCGACCCCGGGTGATACACCACTCAGAGTTCGAATCCCCTAGCTGTTAATCAGAAGTCCAACGCCCCAGCCATTGAACCACGGGCTCGTTGTGTTGTCGGTTTAGATAGGAAATATCGACACTAAGCGAGTTCGGTTAACAATCGCTGGACGTCCATCGACGAATGCTGTATGTTCAGTCGAACCTGGAACGCGAACTTTCTCTTTAATTCGTAAATATATGCTATCGACGTGCCAATCTCAGAATGAACTGGAAGATCAAACAATACATAAATGCAATATGGCTTGCCGTCTTCCGAACGGTCCGTGGTCTCTCCGCGGATCACTACTGCTGTAAAACATCCCGTAGACTTGCTGCTGACCTGGCAGCAAAAGTCTCTGCTGTTAGGGTCGACTATTAATCAGTAAGCGATAACTAACTGTTTGGCGTTGACCGTTGAACATCTTTTACACTGGCATGTACTCTCGAACAAATTAAGCCAGTACAGATAATAGCCGGGGGAAGGAGTATTAATAACTGTAATTACTGTCTGTGCCTTCGATAAGGGTAAAACATGGTGGTAGTTATTCTCCCGTATTACAGTTGGGTTTACGCTAAATTGCAGGGGACTAGAGAAATAGAGTTAAGGTTAGAAAACGGGACTAGGTAACCTTCCTGAAATTTAGCGCCCACCTTGCTCTGAGACACACAGTGGACAGAATCGGTACCGAGGGTCGAACTTTCACCTATTTGCTATATCCAACCGTGGGCAAAATTTGAATTGTGCCCTCAACTTTTAGGAGCATCAGCAATTCTATGATTTCAGCGCATTCTTCACGACCGGGTTCAGTGGCATCTCATCTCCCTTGATGTATTATCCCCACTCTTTGTCCTTCTAGACCTGACAATTACAAAGACTTCAGGCTCGAGCCTTCCTAGCGCCGACTGGGCCAAGGACGCTGACTTGAGTCGTTTCTGGACGTAAGTTAACT